TACCTCTGGTGAGGTGGCGCTTAGACAGCAATGCCATCTATGGAGTGGATAGGTGGACGTTTGTGTCTAAGCCTGTAAGTGAGGTGCCCTAGAGTGTCCCCAACACTAATGACGTGTCTGATTACAGAGTCGACCTGGGACTGCTGGATTGGACGATGAGGCAGTCTACCCAAGGCAGCCATAGTCTCTCCACATGTTTGCTGCAGAAGCTGTGAGTCACCCCCAGACGAAAACTGTTGAGTGCGTTAGCCTGCCTGTGACTTGGCAGTACCAGGAATCGTCTTATCTGGGGGCTGGCTGGTGGGAGAGACTGGCCACTGAGGTGCAGAGAGAGGAGAGTGATCTGCGGAATCACACGAGGCTCCTGCCTAGGGCTCGCAACCCTAGTATCGATCGTGGAGTGGCCTACTCAGCGGAGCTGATCGGAACCTGCCAGCTACAGGCTGGATTTGTGGTTGAAGGCCTCCACGATGGTGCACCCAGTGGGACTGATTTGGCTGGCCTGTGGCCGGGGTAGATTCGCCGAAAGAATCAGAGGATTCATCGTGGGCCACGACGAAGAGAACCAGGGCTACTCATCATGAGTACCGTGGAGCATCCCGTGTCTTCGGAGAAAGACGATTCTGTACATTGTGTATTTATATCCCCCGTGTGACAGTTTATATATTTATTTATGGTGGTGGTGATTATATATATATATATCTGAGCATTTGTATCCCTTCCCCTTTAATTTACTTGCGTTACGGAACACACCCCTTGAAAGCCACTACTAACTTGGGGCCGGATACCCAAACTCTAATAACATCAGAGAAGAACCCAGTTGCGACCCAATAGGGCCGTAACAAGGTTGATAGGACTAAAGTATACATGCTGGGTATTCACCTAGTTGTGCTTGCAGGGGTTGAGCTCTGCTCTTGTGGCCCGCCTCTCAACTGTTACTAACTACTAATTTATTTATTTATTTACTTTTTCCCACACCACCACACATCCCAGGAAGCAGTCCGTGACAGCTGACTAACTCCCAGGTACCTATGCAACCCGCCCTCTTAAAAATAACGTCACTTTTGGCTTGTATGCCCACTATGGCCAAATTTGGAAGTAATTTGAAATGAAATCGACTCACAAAAGTGACGACTGTTCCGTTTTCTGTTTGAGTCGTCCCGCTTACTAGGCAAGCTTAGAAGAGGCAACTTTCCATTAACGTTTTTCATTACGTTTTGAAACTTTACGAGAATTTCCTGCCCACCTAACCTGTCAGAGGACCCTTAACTTACTGTTGTTGAAAAAAAAATCCAAAATTTATTTTCATTTTCAAATTACGTCCATATACGGGCAAACGGCCAGAAGCGACGTTCTTTTTAAGAGGACAGGTTGACATATTTACTGCTAGCTAGGTAACAGGGGCATCAGGGTGAAAGAAACTCTGCTCACTGTTTCTCGCCGGCGCCCGGAATCAAACCTGGGACCACAGGATCACGCGTCCAGCGTGCTGTCCGCTCAACCATCGACCCCTACCACCCTGATCGGGTGGTCAGTAGACTATTGTGGCGACCTTAATAACCTTACAGAAGTTGATAGGACTAAAATATACTCTCTGGTTGTTCAGTAAGCTATTGTGGCGACCTTAATAACCCTCCAGAGATTGAATGAATTAATGTATACTTACAGGCTGGTCAGTAAACTATTGTGGTTTCCTTAATAACCTTCCATAGGTAAATCGGCCTTAAGCCCAACTCCTAACCAGTTTTCCAATGTCGAAGAACAATTAAATTCGTAAAGCAACAAAATTTTAAAGGCGCGTAAGTTTTAGATAATTAAAGTTAAGGACCGACTATGCTAGGCTGCGATTTTGGAGAGAGATAAAATGGGATAACTTGCTTTTTGACGAAACTTAATTTTATCTTAATTCTCTGAATATTTTAGTTTGACTCAGCACCGGGTAGGGTTCTGGTTTTATATCGTTCTGCTAAATAATTATAATTTAGAATGATACTAAGCTATTAGTAATAAAAGACGAAACTGTTACTGAAAATTATCATCGTCAAACGATAAGGTCTCTCTCTCTTCTGACAGATTATTCTAAAAGGATAACGTAGTGTGCTTCAGGTCAAATACTAGAGTGGCCTATGACAGATAATAAATTTGATTAATAATTTGTCTGAGTTTATCTGAGGGCCACTAACACTAGTGGCCTCGGCGTGGACAGGAAGCCGGATTAATGAGAACGTGTCTAATAGGGATAAATGACAAGAATAACAATAGGGGAGTTATCCCCGGCAACGTCACCTGCTGCTTTCTGGTTTTCTAAAACGGATCCAGGTTGCAGGGTAGACTCATCTCAAATGTCGACGGTGTTGGACAAGGAGCTGGAGCCAGTCCAACACTCTGATATTTTTTAAAATTTATTCATTATGTCAGGGGACAGGAAGCCAGAGTGTATTCATATACGTTTTGGATTTTATCGATGGTCTCCTCCCCCCCCCCTCTAAGATCGATCGAATTACTGACCCCGCCCAGAATGCCACCCGAAAACAAGCTGACTAACTTAAACAATCAAATCAAATGTTTATTTAGTTAAAGTACATACATACAAGGGGTGATACAGATTTTGATGGATTTATAGATAGAGCTAGTATATACAATGCCTAAAGCCACTATTACGCAAAGCGTTTCGGGCAAGGAAAACATTAAAGACTAAAACCTAATACTAATTGAGATTAAAGTATAAAATGTGTTGAGAAAAATATATGAATAAAAAAGGGGGGGAACATGGCAGGAAAAACTCAAAAATATAACTTGGTCGACAAACAGCATTGCTTAAAAATAACTGACATGGGTTGACATTATAGGGATAAGGTAGGTTACAGGGAGTTAATTAGGTAGTGCTTAGTTTTTATCTTAAACTGGTTGAGAGAGGTACAGTCTTTAACATGATTGGGAAGGTCAATCCACATTCTGGGTCCCTTGATTTGTAGAACATTTCTAGTTTGATTAAGTTTGATTTGCAAAACTCCTGAGTACATACTCGCTGCTATATGAACAGCGGCATTAGGTGAAAGAAAATGTTCCTAACCATTTCTGTCCCACCCGTGATTCGAACCCGGAATTCTCGATTGTGCATCGAGAACGAACCCAACTATACTACCTGGACCCTTAGACATGAACTAATCTAAATCACAATTCTGACATTTGCTCACGTAAGCCGCCCAAAGTTGAGACAAAGAAAAACTTATATTAATAAAATGCTATTCATAGTAAATGAATATGACATTAGTATCATTAGGTATAACTAATCAGTAACACTAAGAGTAGCTAGGTAAGTACTACTACTCTGCAAGGCATTAATATAATCATCTTGAGATGATTTTGGGGCTTTAGTGTCCCCGCGGCCCAGTCCTCAACCAGGCCTCCACCCCCAGGAAGCAGCCCGTGACAGCAAACTAACACCCAGGTACCTATTTTACTGCAAGAAAACAGGGGCATAGGGTGAAAGAAACTCTGCCCATTGTTTCTCGCCGGCGCCCGGGATCGAACCCGGGACCACACGATCACAAGTCCAGCGTGCTGTCCGCTCGGCCGACCAGCTCCCCGGCCGTATATTTCATATACGAAAATACATTAAAATATAAGTCCACCATAAGCTCACCATAGCCTGTGCTACTTGGAACTTTTGTTCCGAGCCACTGAATCAAAAGCAACTCCGTTGCATAGTGAAAATAATTAAACACGTTTCATGCCCTAAATGCTATACGTGTTAGTGGCTTTGTAAGAACACAAATGTTATGTACTCTCACAATCCTATTGTAAGTTCTTGTACATAAATAAATAAACGTAGTAGAGTACAGTTCTTTCTCTCCGTCCCATGCTAGATACATGGGACATGGTATGCTAGATACTTGTTCATATATTCCTTCCATGTGCTATATAGCCATACTGGCTAAGCACTTTCTCCTGATATTTCTCCAGTATTGGGCAGCGCCACTCATCCTGTGAGTGGACACACCGCCATAGTGACAGTATTGGGCAGCGTCACTCATCCTGTGAGTGGACACACCGCCATAGTGACAGTATTGGGCAGCGCCACTCATCCTGTGAATGGTCACACCGCCATAGTGACAGTATTAGGCAGCGCCACTCATCCTGTGAGTGGACACACCGCCATAGTGACAGTATTGGGCAGCGCCACTCATCCTGTGAGTGGACGCACCGCCATAGTGTCAGTATTGAGCAGCGCCACTCATCCTGTGAGTGGACACACCGCCATAGTGACAGTATTGGGCAGCGCCACTCATCCTGTGAGTGGACACACCGCCATAGGTTGATAAGGTCACCTGTCAGTCCAACAAATTCATCTGCCAGCCATAATGGTTGTCTGTAAGTCATTCACAGTCAGTTTCAGTCTCTTAGTCTCTCGGTCTCTCTCTCTCTCTCTCTCTCTCTCTCTCTCTCTCTCTCTCTCTCTCTCTCTCTCTCTCTCTCTCTCTCTCTCTCTCTCTCTCTCTCTCTCTCTCTCTCTCTCTCTCTCTCTCTCTCTCCCTTACTTGAACACTGGAGCTTGCAGTAATTGGAGGTACTTTTAATCCCACCAATACACCAGTACAATGCGTTGATCTGGAAGATGCCGTAGTCTTTACTTCCGTTGGTGTTCTTGTTCGAGGCGGCCGTGTTGAAGCTTGACTCGTACTGCGCGATACACACAACTGTTGTGGTTGGCACCGTGGGTGAGTAAGGAGTTCGGTATCGTGGTCATTGAGGCAAATTAATCACAATCAATAACTCAATTAAACAGGCAAAATTCGATGTTTCCTGATGCCATAACTTACTATAAGAAATATATTTACTTTGTATACTTCAATCCTTACACAATCTTCACATATTTTTATTTACGAAGATTGTATTCCTAATTCTGACAGTGTTCACTAACATATTTCATGAGAGACAAGGTGGACAAAGCCGCTGGATACATACAGTTCTTGACAAGGGTGCGGGACATGTGGTACGTATTGGTCAGCACTTTGGCCAGTTCACACTTTGTGTACACCTTTCCCGAGGACGTCCCCACCAGGGCGGCCACCACCACCAGCGTCACACACGACCACATCATCCTGGGGAAGGGAGACAGTGTATATGTGTGTGTGTGTGTGTGTGTGTGTGTGTGTGAGAGAGAGAGGGAGAGAGAGAGAGAGACAGAGAATGAGAGAAGTCTCCATTGAGATTACTCTCTGCTCCATTAAGTAGGGTAGTCCTCAATGAAGCAGAATCCGAAAGTCACTCAACTGGTGCCATCGTTCCACAAGATAGTGTCTTTGGCACTCTGCTGTGGAATGTCTGTTTAAAAAAATCTACTTCATCTCATTCCTGAATCTCAAACCTATGCTGATGACTGCACTCTGACATGAATATATGGAAAAGGAGAAATGCCAACTGCTATAAGACTCATCAATCACCAGTTTTCATCAATTTCTACCTGGGGTGGGAGTTGGCAGGTCACATTTGCGGCTGAGAAAACACAGAATAGCTAGACTACACACTGCAAATCAGACAGATATTCAAAATAATGGAAAAAAAACTAGTGTTCAGCGATGAAACTGACATATTGGGAATAAAGTTTGACAATGAAGAGCCACGTGTTTAACCTAGCCAAAAAGGCAGTCAGTACAGCTCTACGGTGCATCTCACACCTTCTTGACAGCAGGGGCTGCAAAACCTTATATGATGCACAAGTTCGCTCTCATTTAGGGTAAGCAGCCCTCTTCTGGATTGCCTGCCCTCCAACACTCATCAGAATGTTGGACAAAGTGGAGAGCTGTGCATGAAGGCTGATCTCTAGTCTTGATCAAGTCTGGTGGGAACGGTCTGAACACCAGAGCCTGCAACACCGTCACGACGTTGGTGGTCTTACTGTTATGTTCAAGGCTATAACAATTCTTAAAGTTCCATTCCTGGCCAAACATCGTGAACAACTACTATAGTTGGCACCCGTAGCACTATCATCTCAACCTTCAACAGTCTCATGCTGAAACTGTCTTTCTCAAGAACATCACACCATCAGCGATTACTCATTCCTAGGATGACTCGAATTTGGAACTTGTTCTATCTGGAGGCTTATTAAGGCCCCATAAAGCTCTAACCAAACAGCAAGGCTACTTAAGTCCTATGAACCTTTGGACGGTTATTAAGATCACACAATAGCTAACTGAACAACCAACACGTATACTTTACACCAATCAACCTCTGGAAGGTTATTAAGTCCACCACAACAGCTTACTGACCAACCAGCAAGTATACTTAAATCCTGAACAAAGTCCACGACTAAAGTAAACATCGTGTATATTGAGAAGTAGGGTACACTTTTCAGTGTATATATCGTGGAGTTTTGATACCATAGTGCTGACGCTCACAGATATCAATCCCAGCGGATTAATTCCGTGCCATTGTATGCTGACTTTATTGGCTTGAATATGCCTAATTAATGCAATAATTACTAAAGCTTACATGTTTAACAATGGCATAGAGTAGTTTCGACAACGTTAAATGATGAACTCAACACACCCAGAGTAAATCATTAACAATTAACACACCCACATAGTAACTACTGAACAATGTAGTAACATGACTAACCTCATCTCTGACCAGCGGGAGCGACACGTCCACACACCTCGGAGTCTCCAGGCCGACTATCCTGAGCCTGGCTCCATGCTGACATATATACCCGCGCTCACCTAATGCGTCATATTTTCAGCGGAAGCCATCAAGCAACTTTGCATCACATAAGTGGAGGTTCAAGTCTCAGGCACGGCTCTTGGGATCTCCAAGTATTTTAAAATGCAACCTGGAGACTGTTAAGGTATATATCTATAATGCTAGAGAGATGTCTCTCTGTCTCTTTTTCTCTGTCCAAAGTTGAAGGCCAGACGCTCGAGGTTAGACTTGCCCAAACTTGGAGTGGGAATTGTCTGGGGTACGGAATTATTATAAGCTGGTTGGGGTCGCCATAATTCAAGAGGTGCCAGCGTGTCAGGATAACATTCTGACCCGCGCCCTCCACCGGCGATTTTTGACACGGGCCTCTGGCTACACCAATTAAAATATTTTGGAAACTAAAATTAAATAACCATTTTCTTCTATAGAAATATACGTCACTATACACCGCTCACTGGAAAATTAACATAAAAATTCTCCTATCCTATCCTTAAGGGTGCTGCATATCTTCTTCTTCGAGGCTTAAGGGTCCCTACAAACAACCAGAGTTGGTAGCCCAGTATAGTATACTGGTAGTATATATATATGGTAGTATATATATTATATATATATATATATATATATATATATATATATATATATATATATATATATATATATATATATATATATATGTCGTACCTAATAGCCAGAACGCACTTCTCAGCCTACTATTCAAGGCCCGATTTGCCTAATAAGCCAAGTTTTCATGAATTAATGTTTTTTCGTCTACCTAACCTACCTAACCTAACCTAACCTAGCTTTTTTGGCTACCTAACCTAACCTTACCTATAAATATAGGTTAGGTTAGGTTAGGTAGGGTTGGTTAGGTTCGGTCATATATCTACGTTAATTTTAACTCCAATAAAAAAAAATTGACCTCATACATAGAGAAAAGGGTTGCTTTATCATTTCATAAGAAAAAAATTATAGTAAATATATTAATTCATGAAAACTTGGCTTATTAGGCAAATCGGGCCTTGAATAGTAGGCTGAGAAGTGAGTTCTGGCTACTAGGTACGACATATATATATATATATATATATATATATATATATATATATGTCGTACCTAGTAGCCAGAACTCACTTCTCAGCCTACTATGCAAGGCCCGATTTGCCTAATAAGCCTAGTTTTCATGAATTAATGTTTTTTCGACAACCTAACCTACCTAACCTAACCTAACCTAACGTTTTTGGCTACCTAACCTAACCTAACCTATAAAGATAGGTTAGGTTAGGTTAGGTAGGGTTGGTTAGGTTCGGTCATATATCTACGTTAACTTTAACTCCAATAAAAAAAAATTGACCTCATACATAATGAAATGGGTAGCTTTATCATTTCATAAGAAAAAAATTAGAGAAAATATATTAATTCAGTAAAACTTGGCTTATTAGGCAAATCGGGCCTTGCATAGTAGGCTGAGAAGTGAGTTCTGGCTACTAGGTACGACATATATATATATATATATATATATATATATATATATATATATATATATATATATATATATATATATATATATATATATATATATGTCGTACCTAGTAGCCAGAACTCTCTTCTCAGCCTACTATACAAGGCCCGATTTGCCTAATAAGCCAAGTTTTCATGAATTAATGTTTTTTCGACTACCTAACCTAACCTAACCTAACTTTTTCGGCTGCCTAACCTAACCTAACCTATAAAGATAGGTTAGGTTAGGTAGGGTTAGTTTGGTTCGGTCATATATCTATGTAAATTTTAACTCCAATAAGAAGCAATTGCTCTCATACATAATGAAATGGGTAACTTTATCATTTAATAAGAAAAAAAATAGAAAAAAATATATTAATTCAGGAAAATTTGGCTTATTAGGCAAATCGGGCCTTGCATAATAGGATGAGAAGTGCGTTCTGGCTACTAGGTACGACATTATATATATATATATATATATATATATATATATATATATATATATATATATATATATATATATATATATATATAATATATATATATTAGTATATTTTGGTAGCAGTCTTTCCTGTAGACATATATTATTAAATATGACCGAAAAAGTAAGATTAATAATTGTAACACGAATTTTCTCTATCTTTCGTACGTTTCTTTTCACTGTTGGTGGTAATTCAAAAATCAATTCTCCAAAATTCATTTTTTATTTCTAGTCTGACGCGACACTTGAGCGCGTTTCGTAAAACTTATTACTATTTGTCAGAAATGAGAAATATTCAAGGGACATAGATGGTAAACGAGTAATAACAAGGAGGGAGAGATGACCAATTAAGAGTATGACTGCGGCCTACAGTCACCACGTAATCCAAAGTTGTCTCACCTTCACTATATGTTACTCTCGTAATGCACAATACACCGCACCTTATAAAAAATGAAATTGAATATGAAAAATAGTAAAGCTACGTTAACAAAGTTAAATACGCTTACCATAAATTACCACTTGGCATCAGTACCTGAGTGAAGCTCCTAGGACAGGCCCCCATATAACGTGTGACGGTAACGCGTTGGTGTTCGGCTGTTTAAGGCTAGGGGTATGGCCTCGTCACATAGTTATAAAAAAAAATAGAAAAACTGGAACTTCGTCTGTGGTAAGGTAAGGAGAAGACACACAAAACACAAGTAAACTTTAACAATGAAATTTTAATTACGTTAAATAAATCAAAACATGAAAAAATGGACAAACAAATTCTTATAATAAAATCAATCAATCAAAATAATAAGAATAATTAAATGACACAATGAAAAGTTACGTTAAGATAAAATAACAAGAAGTGCAACACAAAATTAAAGGGAGGTGCTGGAATATTGGCTTTAAGCTACCACCTCTCTCAGTACACGCTAACGTCTAGCCGGGAGGAGTGATAACTGCGAAAGCACTAAATATTCTGGAAGAAGTACGTCGTTATGTGGTGGAGTAATGGATGGAGTCGCTTCTACTTCATAAACTCTGGAGAGGGCATCGGCTATGGTGTTGTCAGAACCCTTGATATAGCGTGTCTCCAGGTTGAATTTCTGCAGTTAGCAAGCCCATAGTAGAAGACGTTGAGATGGGAAGTGGGCGTGCTGCCGGTGGTGTAGGGTGGTGTAGTCCGTGTTGATGGTGGACCGAGCACTTTTCAGGTGTGGAGTGAAGTGCTGAAGCTTCAGGATGAGGAAGAGTAGCTCCTTGCCAATTGTTCCGTAGTTCCTTGTAGCAGTAGTCGCTGACAGGTGTATTCTTCTCGCCTCGTTGCTGCATCACGACACCACCAACGTCGGTACCATTGGCGTCGACATGGAGGATGAAGGGCTTATCTGACGAGGTGAGAGTGGAATTAGAATAGGGCCAAGGAGCACGATTATTATACTGAAAGCATGTGGGAAGATCATTAAGGATTTCGGAATTAGAAAGCGCTGACTCCTTGTCAGTGCTTTCGGGAGGAGAAGCTGGGATGGTCTCACTGTGGATGTAGGGTTCTGTGAAGGTAGAACAATTAGTCAGGACAGTGGGAGGAGTACCATTATATTGCTTCAGGAGGTTGACGTGGCACAGCTGGGTCTTCCGCCGCCTATCTGGAGTCTCTATTACGTAGTTGTTATTATTCCTGCACTCTTTGACGCAGTAGGGTCCTGAAAACCTGTTTTGTAAAGGTGAATCCAATAGGGAAGTAGGCAAGGACGAAGTCTCCCGGCTTGAATTTTCTTACGTTGCTGGTCTGGTCGTAATGAGTCTTCATTCTCACCTGGGCTTTCAATAGATTATCATGGGCAAAGCGGTGGACTCTCTCTAGAATGTGTTGAAGGTTTTGAAGAAACTGGGGCACATTCTGATGCTCACTGAAGGTGGCATCTTTGAGAGAGTCTTTGAAAGCCTTAAGGGGAGTACGGCACTTACGGCCGTAGAGCATCTCATAAGGAGATACTCCTAGGGACTCATTGGGGAGACTTCTGAAAATACACATTATAAGGTCAATCTGCTTATCCCAATCCTTCGAGGTTTCACTACAAAACTTTTTCAAGAGTGCTTTGATGGTCTGATGACTACGTTCAAGAGAACCCTGTGAAGCAGGATGATAGGGGCTGGACAATACCTGTTTGATGTTGAACTCCTCCAGTGTCCTTTTGAAGAGATCACTGGTGAAGTTGGTACCACAGTCACTTTGAATCTCCCTGGGAAATCCGTATTGAGTGAAGATCTTCAATAGATGTTTGATAACCGTAGCAGCCGTGATGTTCTTCACTGGAACTGCTATGGGAAATCTGGTGGTAGGACACAGGATGGTTAGGATGTAGGCGTTACCTGAACTGGTCCGAGGTAAAGGACCAACACAGTCTATTATGAGTCTGTGGAAAGGTTCCGCAGGCACCTGTATGGGAATCAGTGGCGCTCTGGGAATGGAGATGTTCGGTTTGCCTTCCATCTGACATGTATGACACTGTTTTACGTACTGTTTGACGTTATTTACCATACCTGGCCAGTAGTAGTCTTGACGAATCCCATGGTAAGTCTTGTTGAAGCCGTAGTGGGAGAATGCTCCGTGGGCCAGGTGTAGAATAGTGGGCCGCAGGCTGGTGGGAATCACAAGTTATATGGGTAATCGCCCACAAGAACGAGAAATCACCCTCAGAGAACGTGAAACTACTTTGAGGAGAGACGAACAAGAACGCGAGGCCGCTTTGAGGAGAGAAGAACACGAACGTGAGGTCGCATTACTCCGTGAACGTGAACGAGTACAGCTTGAAACCAAACAACGCGAGTTGGAAATACAACGCGAACATGACAAGCAACAAGCGACTCTGGCTCTAGAGTGTCGTCAACGTGAAATCGCCTTGGAAACTTCACACTTCACTCAACGCCAACAAGCTACTGCCAATCTTCCCGTCAGTTTTAATATATCACATGCAAGTAAGTTAATGCCATCCTTTGTAGAAGCAGAAGT